TTACGTTTAAAGACGTTTTATCAAACAATTAAATTAACTCTTGACATGTCATTGTTAAATGCCACACATGTTACTCAATTGCATTATTTGTATTTAAATTACACTATGTAAATATTATTCGATTATGTATACATAACATCACTTCAAAATTGAACAATAACGTAATTAATACATTTAAACATTTCGAAAATATTTAAGACAAATTAAGAATTACTAGTTCATATATTTTTATTACAATGTCATAGCTATAATAGCTTTTGAAACCACTTGGCATTAGCACAATAGTGTATTTTAAAATATAAGTAGTTATATTATACATAAAATATATATACCAACCATTAGATTCTTTTTTTTTTATTCTACTGTATTTTATACTATTTGCAGGAAAATTATATAAATARTTATATGAGATAAATAAATGCGATGTAGTCATGCAGCCATATCAGTACTGTTTTACAACACATCGAACCAAGTTATTTTGACACTTTATGGAAATTTAATGTTTAAATCTTAATTACATATTTTCAGTAATAACTGCGTGTTATTACATATATTACACATATTTCAAACACATATTGCAATATTTCTGAAAATAATCTTCAATTTAAATTGGACATAGACCATATGTGTCATGCAATTAATGTAAAGTAGTTTATAACGCAATAGGTTGTAAAGTATTTCGATTTTCGAATAATTAATTAATCATTTTGATTACTAGTACCAGATCAGATATGTTTTATTTCCTAACATAATCTTTGCAACAGTTACGGAAAGTTAACTTTTATTTTTATATTTTACTTTTGCTATTATATATACTATATATAAATATATATTTTTGAAACTGAAGACATGTAATTATAAGCTATAATAACATAAATTTAATACAAATTAATTGTAACAATTTTATTATTATAATTTATAATTAATTATGGTGGCTTGGTGAGGCGCGGTCGTACGCTCAATCTGTGGAAACGCACTGAGCGTACGTACCAGCCGCAGTTGCTAGCTCCCGGATGGGTGACCACCCGGGATTTTCAGCAACATATCCTTGCCACACATACACAAACACGTGTTACA